GGTGAGACCTCATCTCTACAATAAAATCAAAAAATTAGCTGGGCGTGGTAGTGCGCACCTGTAATTCTGGCTACTCAGAAGGCTGAGGCGGAAGGATCACCGGAGCCCAGCAGGTCGAGGCTGCAGTGGCTGGGAGCGGCCACTGCACTCCAGTCTGGGTGACAGAGTGAGATTCCAACTCAAAAAAAAAGAAAATCAAAAGATAGCAGCATTGAAATCACAAACGGCAGGTCTAAATAAGAACAGAAAATTGTCTCAAAGGTGACTCAAATATAGATCTTATATAACTCAACCTACAATGCCATTAAAAAAATTCTGTTAAAGAAGCAAAACAAAATTAACATATTAAAAGATAAATTATGAATAAAATTTATTAATTTGTATCATTTGAGTTTTTTTGATATTTGCTACCTTTCTAATTGCTTGAAATATTTTAATATTAATCCATTATCTCTTTCTATAGTTCCTATAGTACAATACAAGTGAGCCCAGTGTTGTCTTTATTTAGGGTAAAAGTAGACTCTAACTTCAGTTTGAGATGAAGGCATGAACAGTAATACTATTATCGTGACAACAAAAGATGTTCAACCTTCCCCAGCCACTTGAAGTCTTTTGTCACCATCTTATTATCATGACTCCTTTCTGTACCCATTCTGATATGGTCAGATTACCTGTTCATTCGTTTGTTTGTTCATTGAATCTTTCTGAAAATATTTATTTTGCACTCGTCAGGTGCTGTGCTTGATTTCCAAAATTTAGAGATGAATACATGTTCCACCTTCAAGGACAACCTTATGTGAAAGCAGAAAAATAATCAGAAACTTTCATTAATATGTGGCAAAACAGTTATATAGAAAAGCCACAGGAGAACAGACCAGTCATTCTTGTCTGGCCTGGTTGGGGAGGGGAGAAGGAGACAGGGTTTTGTCCTAAAGAAGCCAATGTGTCGCCTGAGTAAAATAATATGAATAGGAATTGATCAAGTGGCTATAATTGTATGTTTTTCCTCTTTACCAGATCTCAAATTTTGTAACTTATCAGATACAGTACTGGGTCGGCCTGCCTGTTTTCTAAGCACTCAGCCTGAAGTAGTTTCATAGATTCTCATGGCCTTAATGGCTTCTCTATCCTGATTATTTCCATTGAGACAAACATCTCCATGTCCGATCATTTGTTTGTTTGTTTGTTTTCCTTTTCTTTTCCCCCTCTACTTTTTATTTCTCTTTTTTTAGGGCTTCTGTAGGGGGTTTGACGGATTTTGTGGTTGAGCCAGGAAAAAAATATGACCACAAGGTGGCAGTAACACATGAACTTTATTTGGGGCTACTTTGACAGGTTCTCAAGAGTAGGAAGTCCCTCACAGCAGGAGTCTGTCCAAAAGCTAAGGTCAGGGTCACTACTCAGAAGGGGAGGAGAGCTAGAGAACTTCTAGGAGACAGGGACTTATGTGTCTAGGCAATGCTACTCAGCGTCATGGAAGAGTGTCTGGGTCAAAGAGTTCCAAAGGGCTTGGGTCTTCATGACCCACCCTTGCTCCAGATGTGAGGTGAGTTTTTGTGGGGTGTGCAAAACCGACAGATTTTAAATGGCTAAAAACCTGCTTGTGTAGCCTATTTAAAAAAATAAATGCATGCATAAACATTTGTTTTTTTGTCCCCTAGTTCACTTTTGAGTCAATGGGTCTCACCCTGAGTGATGAAATAACCAACGCAGGTGCCAATACAGGGTGGCCATCTTTGACTCATTGATATAATGGTTTCACATCAGTATATTCACATGCCTACTTAACATCTCCACTGGGGCATCATGTAAGTAACATGGCATTAACCTGATCAAGACAGAACTCCTGATACTTCTCCTATTTTTCCTTCTCAGTAAATAAAACTGTCATTCCATACTTGAGGCAGAGACTTCAGAGTCATATATGGTTCTTCCCTTTCCAATCTAATCCCTTAGGACATTTTGTTATTTCTAGATCCTAAGCATCTCCCATATCCAGTTCTTTATAGCTCCATTACTAACACTCAAGGCCAAGTTACAAATGTCTCTCACTCGGATTACTCTAACGTTCTGCCAGGTTGTCTTCTTATTCTACTCATATCCCCTTCCCATAGGTTTCCACACAGCACCGAGGGTTATCTTTTTTGCTTTTCTTTTTTTTTAGTATTTATTACCTTAGTCTTTAATGTAATCTGATTGTAAGTTTATATAATTTGATTTTTTAAAATAAATGTTGTTGTATATATTTAAGGTAAACATCACGAGGCTGTAAGTTACACACATATAGTAAAATGGTTAGTGTAAGGTTATTTTTTGAAACACATCATCAGATCATGCTAAATTATTGCTTGTGTACCTTGCAACAGTACCCTGTTCTGTATGAAGCATATCCAAATCAGAAGATCCTGGATGATCCCACCTCTCTCTGCCTCGTATCTCTTCTCAGGTCTTTTGCCTCACTGCTCACCAGAGTCCAGCGGCAGGCTCAGTGACTGGTGCATGCTCTTTTCCATAGCACGGCCTCTGCAGTGCCATTCTTTCTGCCTGCAATATGCTGCTCTCTCAGCAATTTGAATGGCAGGTTCCTTTTCTTCCTGCAGGTGTTCCTTAAATGTCACTCCCTCATAGAGGCCTCTGTAACTGGCCTAACATTTACCCCATCTCCCCACCTCCCACCCCATTACTCTCAAACTCCCCATGTATTTCTTGCATAACAATGGTCTTAGTTTATAATTGAAATAGGATATATTTTGTTTATTGCTCCAAACTCTCTCTCGACCTAAGCCTCATGAAAGCAGATATTTTATCTTGCTCATTGCCTTTTGTTTTATTTTAGTTTTTTCCTTTTAATCAGGTATTTAGTGCAATGCCTGGCACATAATAAAATCTAACTAATTATTTGTTAAATGAAATACATACATACATTCAAAAACAATATATAAGTGAATAAGGGCAGTCAAATGGAAAATATCTTTTTTTAAGGGCTAAAGATTTTATTGTATTATGCTACACAGTTAAACACTATGAAAACCTCAGTACTTTATTATTAATGAGGCAAATAAATTTAAACAACATTGGAGAATATGAATAGCTTTTGAATACATATGTTGAAAATCATTGAGCTAAACCAGCTGGGATTCCTTTGCAAGGCTGGGAGGTACTGAAAAATAGATTGGAATCAGCTGTTCTCCAAATGTTTTAGACAAAAATAGGAGTAATATTCATCATTAGGTGTTTAAAAGATATATGAGGAAACATTTTTTGTGGGGGTAAGAGTGAAAGAGAAAAACTGTCAAGAGGTTGTAACAATATCTGAGAATCTTCACTTTCTACCATGCTTTTTTACATTTCTATTGCATCTATGTCTAGATTCTCTTTTCATTATTCTTACTATTACTTATCTGTAAAACCCTTTGATTTATATTCCTTTGCTTAGTCTTAATGGAAGTGTATCCACCATGCATTAGAAGTAAACCTGTCTTAATCTGGAGATGGTGACAACAAAAAATACAAAGAATAAGAATATGATTGTGAGTCGGGCTCGGTGGCTCAGCCTGTAATCCCGCGCCTTTGGGAGGCTGAGGTGAGTGGATTGCCTGAGGCCGCGGGTTCGAGACCCTCCTGGGCAACCTGGCGAGACCTCATCTCTACAATAAATAAAAAAATCAGCTGGACATGGTAGCGCATGCCTGTAATTCCGGTTACTCAGAAGGCTGAGGCGAAAGGATCGCCGGAGCCCAGCAGGTCGAGGCTGCGGTGGCCGGGAGCGGCCACTGCACTCCAGTCTGGGTGACAGAGTGAGACTCCAACTCAAAATAAAATAAAATAAAATAAAATAAAATAAAATAAAGACTATGATTGTGACCATTTATTGTTTCCTCTGTGCCAGATGTCATTCTAAGGGCTTTACATGTTCTAACTTATTTCATCCTAAAAAAGGAGCCCTAGGAGTTAGGCACAGGTTGAATATACCTTATCCAAAATGCTTGGAACCAGAAGTGTTTCGACTTTTGATATATATATATATATTTTTTAGATTTTATGATTTTTAGAAGATTTGCATATACATAATAAGCTATCTTGTGGATTGAACCCAAGTCTAAAGATGAAGTTTATTTGTTTCATGTACTGCTTATATACATAGCTTTAAGGTAATTTTATTTTTACCTTGGGGATGCTGAATAAACACGGCATTGTGCTCCAGTGTTTTAACTGTGACCAGTCCCAAAAGGTCAAGAGAGGAATTTTCCATCTGTGGCATCATGTGAGCATTCAACCTTCAGATTTTGGACTTGGAATTTTTGGATTAGGGATGCTCAACCGGTTCTATTATGATCTCCATTTTACAAATGAGGAAACAGAAGCAAATGAAGGTTATGTCACTTGCTTATAATCTCACAACTAGAGAAACGTGCGCCAGGACTTGAAACCAGGTTGTCTGGGTTGCAGTTCGGTCATGAACCACCACACTCTACTGCTTACTCCTGTAATCGTTCCACTTTTCCTTTTCAGCCATCGTATTTTTTATTTTGGAGAAAAGAGTGCCTGTGTCTACAGATGTCGGGATGGGGTTGGTAGAGAAGAAACAGGAGGTTCAACAGTAAATGGAGAAATTCCCAACTAGAATTTTTTTGCTATCTGATTTGGCAATCATTGGCTTTTTAATTAAGTTACTTGTAGTTTTACTAGTGGGTAGCACGAACAGTGGGCAGTGGAGATTTTCTTGTTTTTCTCTTTTCCCTGTCTAGGTAAAAGCAAACTGAGAAGTCTGGGAGCCTCTTTCTGAAAAGAGGCAGATTATAAACCTACACAATTTTGCAGTAAAGTGAAGAAAATGTACTCTTTTCTTTTTTTCCCTATACTTTTAGTTCTCTCCTCTCTATACTTTCTGCTCAGTAAAACTTACGATCTCATGGAATTAATGATTGAAAAAAATCTTTGCTCTCATAGATACATTCATTCACCTTTAATTTATTCAACAAACACTTATGAGTACCTACTATGTGCCAGGCTCTGCGTTAGCTGGGGTGTTTAGTGTGAAGCACGTCAGGGTCAAGGAAACCTGCAGAGGGAAAGATAAAATGAAACCAGGAAACACACATGCACATTCATACATAGGGTGTTTTTTGTATGTATTGCTTAGACATATACACGTATATACTTTACATCTGCCATAGATCTTACATATTTATAAACATTTAAATGTATTTATTTACTTCATAGGCTTATTCTATATATGCTTTACATACATACACACATACACACAACACACGCACATATTTACAAGTTATCAAAAGTGCTATGAAGGAAATGAACAGGTTCTGTGACAGAGAACCAATGATTAATAATGGGAACTACTAGAAGGGCAGTGGTGAATCCCTGGGGAGAAGTAGGTTAAGGATATCCCTGGATTCAAAGAAAAGAGGCAAGGGAGTCTTGGAGTCCTCATGCAGCCCACCCTAGCTCACATAATCTCTGGTCTGGAATAAAGGAACCACCCAGAGCTGTGTCCTGCGTGGGTGACCAAACGTTTATGGAATTAGGTGCAGATGAGCATATCAGCGTGTTCATCCAACAAGGAACTAACATACCAGCAGAGAGACTGGTGAAATCTAGAAGACATTTAGTTTGTGAGCCTATATTGTGAACATGCTGTGAGGAGACATAAAAGAAAAAGCACCTTTGACTGCAAAGCTCTGAGTCTAATTGGGTAGAATAAACAGATGCATGAGAAATGACACCGGAGGCAATGGACCAAAGTGTACAAAGAGAGCCATTAGAAATGGAGTAAACAGAGCATGCCTGAGCTCATCCTTTTTAAAGGAAATGAGTTGGAGACATGACATTTACTTAATTGATGGTGGAGGCAGTGAGAATATATTTAGACAGACACTAGAAACAAGGGCTTAAACTTAGAACGACAAATACAGAAAGAGGATGCAACTTCTAGTGAAGAGGAATAAAAACATGGTAAAGATTTGAAAAGTTCTGTCCTAAACTTATTAAAGAGCTGCTGTTCCTCTTATGACCTGTTCACCTCATGTGTCAATGTTGTTTGACAGAGACAAGGTACTTTTATGGTCAGGGAATAGACACTAGGCATCTCATGAAATAACCAGTTTGTTAAATGGTTGTTAGCAAAATATTCCTAGTACTAAAATATTTAAAAATAAAAACATGGCCAGGCACAGTGGCTCAGCCTGAATCCCAGCACTTTGGGAGGCCAAGGGGAGAGAATTGCTTGAGCCCAGGGGTTCGAGACCAGCCTGGGCAACTTGGTGAGACCTCATCTCTACAATAAATTACACACACACAAAAATTAGCCGGGCATGGTGGCGTGCATCTGTAGTTCCAGCTACTTGGAAGGCTGAGGTGGAAGGTCAAGGCTGCAGTAGACGTGAGCGTGCCACTGCACTCCAGCCTGGGTGACAGAGTGAGACTTCAACTCAAACAAAACAAAACAAAAACATTCTATTAAAAATTCTAATGCTAGTTATTGTCCAGCATGAGAGGCCTTGGAATTTTCAGAGTGGTGTTCTGATACAGTTTAACAAATATGATTTGAATGAATCTTAAGTGTCAAGGAAGTTAGAGGACACTAGGAGTGTAAGGATAAAACATAGTTCTTTCTTTATGGAGCTTAATATCTAGGGTGAAACAGAGAGAGAGAGGGAGAGAGAGACAAGACACACCATGGAGGCTAAAACAGGGCTACAAGTGATGTTGCTCAGAGGATGAGTATAAGAGTTTAGGGAATGTTCCTGGGAAAAAGGTTATTTGACTGAGAATTTATAATACGAGAAAGGAAAATAATTTTTTAAAAGATCAATTCAGGAAAAGAGAGCAGTGCAACAGGATGAGTGTACAGAAAAAAATGAGAACACGTATAAAACGCTATTTTTAGAAATTCAGCATCAATGCATGCTTCAATGCTTCAATGTTCAAAGTTCAAAACAGGCTGAACAAATGTATGGAAAGTACATTAGTTTGATACTTTTGAATGAAGTTTATATTTATAGAAATTAGGCTTTTAAGACATGGAGTTGCTTTGTGGCCCAAATTTCCTTCCATGAAAAGAAAGCAGAAGAAATGAAATTTTAGAATGATAATGAAAATAGGTCCATATTCTAATCCTGCTACCTTCAATGTTTACATGGAGGACAATAATGCAGAGAATTGGTTAAAATAGGAAACATGTGGTAAAAGAGATGCAAGAAGCCAACTAGAGAAAAGTGTGAAATGAGTAACAGGAGCAAGCCACAACCAACTCGAGGCTGGAACATGGGACGAGAAGACAAGGAGACACTACTGTAACTAACTCAGGAGCCTTGGGTTACCTACTGGAAACTAGAACTTGAGTAATGAGAAGCAGGGCTGGTAGCTGCCATTGGAGAAGGCGTGGAGGCAAAGTGAACGCTAGGAGAAATACCCCAGATTCTACCCTCTTCACAGTCTCCAAGTTTCCTGCCAGAGTCCCAGGTCTCAAACCCCCTTGGCAGAAATCAGCTAATTCAGCTCTTTGGGAAAGGAAACCCTGGGGGATCAGAGCTCCCTCCTCCTGATTGAGCTAGAAGAAAGACAAGGAATGAATTCAAAGGCAAATAGCCCCAGAAACAGCACAAAACCCAATTAAGAGAGTTTAAGTTACAGAAATCCCAGGACTATCTTACTAACAAAAGAAAGCCTGCACTCCAAAGACTGGGTTCTTAGAAGGTTTAAGAAAAAATATATTCAAGACATGTTTCTCTTTTGTTTTTCTTGACCAGGTCAATGTGAAATGGGAACAGCTCCATGACCAAAAATTAATTTTAATTTGGCTGGAAACACTCATCAGAGAAGACAAATGGGTTTTGGGGGTTTTTTTTTCCCCTCTAAAAGAAGTTGCTACGTTATATCCTTTTTTATAAAGTTCAGCCTACATGTAGGCTTTCTTGTTTGTTGTGCTAGTACATTTTACACATTAGAAAATCCTTGACTTATCAAACAAAGGCTTATTTGCCTAAATTATCATGCTGGCCTGACACTGAGATGTGGGGTTTGTTTTGAGTCTTTTGGTGACCTGAAGTATTTTGATAAATGCCATTGCCTAAAACTATTCAGTAGGAAGTTTGGGCACCATCTGTGTTTGTTTCTACAGGAGCAGTAACTGACTAGAGAAAAATCTGATTCTCATTTCAAAGATGCAGTATAAACAAAATTCAAGATGATGCCTTTAACATAATTATTCCACCTTTCATTTACAATGTGCTTTATGCATTTCAAAGTGATTTGATGTGCTTTCATTTAACAGATCTTTACAAAACTTGTGGAAGTTGGAGATGGGCTTCTAAAAGATATAAAGCTCGACAAGGAAAAGAACACTGAAATTAGGCAGTCTTTTAGGGGAAGACTGTAAAAAAAACAAACACTTAGCTTAAAGAACACTCTCTGGCAGATACTTTTTGGAGTGTGTCACATACATTAACTCATTTAACCATCAAAACAATCCTATGAAGTTCTCATTTTAAGGATAAGAAGACAAAATGACAGGGACTTTCATTGACAACTAATAAAGATTTGAGACCATGGCAGTCAAATGGAATATCCTCTCTCTAAGTAGTGTCTTCTTTAAATAATTACTCAGCAAGCCACATTTCTAATTACAGACATATATACTTATATTGGATCTCTCTTTTTTCTATCAAAATGTGCATGCAACTCAGTGGTGTACTGGTAAACAGGCCCACTGACTCTCTGTAAAAGAAAAAAAAAGTTCTGATTTATAGCGTTTGCCAATTTCTATGGCATAAATGCACTCACTAGAGTCCACTTCAAGCTACCAAAGTGAAGTCATTGGAGTCAGTTGAAGAGAGCACACATTTGAAATATTTCTAAAAAAGGAATTCATTTGATTTTCAGCTGTTTTACCCAACCTGATATGAATTAAACTGTTTAGATATGTTCTTGTTCAATCAAGGCTTATAAGGGAGTTATTTAATCATGTTAATTGAAAACTTGTTTTTCCTTGATGATAATCAGGCTTGTCTGGGGTGAGTTGATCATGTAGTATCTGGAGAAAGGAGCAGGGAGGCCGAAAAAGCGCGACCTCTCATAAGATGGCCCATAGACACAGTAGACCAATGGGCATCCTCGTGCCATGAGAACGGCTCCTGCCCAAGTACCAGCCTCTGGATCTCAGGGACCCCTTTCCTAGAATTAAAGAAGTGACTGTCCACATTATCAAAGCTGTCTCATGCCAAAATGTTTTACAAACACACATCCACAGCTAAACTTTGCATGATGCCTTTCTCTCTTTCCTTCGTTCTCAAAAGCAGGATGATAAAAATCAAAGCTTTCTGCTCACCATACTCTATTCCCATCTGTGTTTTGTTTTCTTCTCATTCTTTCTTCTTATTTTCCCCTATGAAATGATTTCTAAAAGTATTATAAAATTCCACTGGGGAAATATAAACATCTGATATATATATGTTTTTCCCCACAACCACAAAAAAACAAAGGAAGCTGGACTTGACTGGTACTGGGGAGACATAATGCAGAGTCAGATAAAGAGTCTTTGTGAGCTTTGTGGCTGTTCCTGAGTCTTAAGACTTCATTAACAACCCAAACCAAAACAGTTCTACAAAAAAAGTGGGTCAGCAGAGAGAGATTGGGAAAGCTTGGAGAAGGTCTGGACACCTTTCTCCTGTTCATGAACAGGTTTGGTGACTTTGCTGTTCCCTGTGGAGTGACTGGTTTACCAGCTGTTCTGGACATCAACTTGGAAGAATTCTGTTATTAAGATGTATGCAACTCTCCTTTGCCTCTTCCATGTGTCTTCCCTTTCCTTCAGTATCTTTTTTTGGAGAGAAAAAGCCTACAAACTTACTCTTATAAGCTAATGAATGTGAAAGTCTTTGCCAGACCATTGGTTCTGGGTCAAGAAACAAATGAACAAACCAAAATCTTCATAGCAAAAATACTTAATCCTTCAAATAGAGACCATTACAAAATTTGCCCCACAAAAAAGGTAGAATAAATAGGTCAAATCCAAATGTCTCATTCATTCAGCAAACATATATATATATAATGCATATTTTAGATACCAATCTCATGCTAAAGATCCAAGAATCCAGATTTGAATAAAATATGAATCCTGCCCTTTCGTATTTTCTAACTGTAATTAAATTTCTTTATTATTATATAAATTTATAGATCTATAACAATACACAAGATTTTCGGTAAACTTTTAAACCTGCTTTTCATATAGCAAATCATAGCGATATTAGAAAATAATTGAATATTTCCTTGTATTTATTGTTATAAGTTTTATCTATTCCAGATCAGTCCAATTAGCAATATAAAATGCAGAGAAAAACCTTAGAGACAAAATTTTATTTTGTGCTAAAAAAGAAAAAAATATTTAACTTACCTTGTGTCCACATCTGACCTTCCATTCAAATCTTATCTCTTCTGTAAAGTCA